ACAGGCTGAAGACCACCTCCCCAGCCCACACACACGCCAATAGCAGTACTGAGCAACACATATTCAACAGCAAATCACTGGCCCCCTCCTTTCTTTCCCTCTCCCTTAGGAACGTCTGATTTGAGAAGTTGGCTGCGGCGGTGTCTCTTCTGCCATCAGACATGTCACTGAGTTGCTGTTCAGTTTCACATCAGACTTAGGCTGGATTTTTTCCGTTCAGAGGCTTGTTTATTTTTAGCCTTTACCATAAACCTTACAACCCCCCCTCCCCATAACCCAAAACAACAGCCCCAAACAAAAACCTACCCCCCCCAAACAACAAACAAACCCAGGAAAAATCCCAGTCCCAAAGCAGTCAGCCACCAACTAGACCCTTCTGCACCCAGCCCAGTGAGATGTGGTTGATCACAGACATTACGAAATGCTCTGAACTCTGCTCAAGATGACTGGAATCGTTAGATTCACTGTATGAGGCATATCAGACCTAACAGGGCTGCTTCCTTTTCTCTCTTCCCCCCCTCCAAAAGTGAACTGATAATTGCATCCAAAGTGCTTTGCAGTCACCCCCTCCCCGCATCACCCCTCTCTCCCAGTCTTGTCTTTGCAAATAAGCCGTCTGCAAATTACTTCACTGTGTGGTTACAGCCGGAGCACAGCAATAATACAGCATTTTGGCATTGGCTTCCCAGGCAGTACAAACAAGCCGAAGACAGGCAGACCACACAGTTGGGTCTCTCAGTGTTTTTGTAACACGCGCGTTATCCCAGTTTGAGAGGGGAAGTGATTTTTTCTCAGGGAGGGGTGGGGGTGGAATGTGGGGAAGAGGAAGGGAGAAGGGAATGGAACAGAGAATGTTTTGCCTGTCTTCTTGCCTCTGCCCTGAGTAACCGAGCTCTCGATCCGTGGTGACAGGAATGAAGTAAGAAAATGGTGGAATGTGGAGGGATTTATTTGGAAGGGGGGGGGGGGGAACATGGGTTGGTGGGAGAGGAAAGGAGGGGGTGGTGGAGATCCAGAATCAAATACCTTCCAGGCAGCAGGTTCTCCATAATCCAGAATGGGTCATGACTTCCTCGTTCTTTTTGCTGGTTTCGTTCTCACTGACAGTTTTAGTCTTGCAAACCCCTCTGGAGTAAAGCCAGTAGTCGGTCCCCACAGCTATGGTCATCAGGCTGAAGGCAGCGAAAGCACCAACGGTGGTTAAAAGCATCTGAACACCTCTGTCAAAGAGCCCCATAATTCTTCATTATACAAATACCCAACCGCCTTCTGATTCTTGGGGTGTGTGTGTTTAATAAAATAAATGTATAATAATTCCGACTAATAATATAATGGGTATATATAGAGAGATAGATATCAAAAAAGGGAGGTAAGAAAGCCCACGGAAAAGAGTGTAAATTAGAAAGACCACACGGGAAGAGGCTTGCCTTTTAAATCAGAAACGTTCTGGTTGAAATAGAAAAAAAGGAAAAAAGAAAAAAAAAAAAGAAGAGATAAAAGAACCAAGAAAAAAAAACCAAACAAATAAAGAGAGAACCCCCCCAAAATGAGACGCCTTAATCCCTTTTTCTAAAATTCTGGTCTCCAGTTTCCATATGTAATGGCTAATTTGGAGATGGCTTCCACAGTGAACAGGGGAGCAGCAGCAGCATCCTCAACACAATCTCTCATTATCTGGACCTAGACAGTTAGAGACTGTAAGAGCAGAGATGCAACCTTCAGTCTTCTTGCTTAGCTCTGCAGCCTGCGCCATGAAAATCCTTTTCCTTCTCAGTTATCTTCCTTGGGGTTTTATTTATTATTTTTTTTCCCGGCAGCGGCAGTAGCTCCAATCCTCTCTCACTTTTGCTTGCTTGCTTCTCCTTTCCTTTCGCTCGCTCCTACCACCAAGCCAGGCTGCCCAGTATACTGTAAGCCCTTGATTTCAGCTGAACAGGTGCCGAGGTCTTGCCTCCCATGGCTTTTCCGCACAGCCGCGGCGCTCGCTCCCGGCGGAGGTGGGCGAGGACAGAGGGGGGCTCCGGGTGGCGGTGGGAAGACGAGGACACGGACGTGGGGTAGGGGAGAAGCGGGGGGGAGGGGGGTGGTGGGTACAGGCGCGGAGCGCGGCTGCGGCACCCCCTGCCCCGCGGCGGCCCCCGGATACTCCCGGGCCCCGCTACTGCATCAAGGCGGCGGCGGCGGCGGCGGCGCGGCGCTGGACGGCTCGGCGGCGGTGTGCGGCGGTGCTGCAGGACGGCTCCCCGGGCGGCGGCGGTGCGGGAGGAGCGCTGCCGGGCCCCGGTGCTGCAGGACGGCTCCCCGGGCGGCGGCGGTGCGGGAGGCGCGCTCGGCGGCCCGCGGTGCTGAAGGACAGCTCCCCTGCCCGCGCCGCCCGCCCTGCCCGCGCCGCCCGCGCCCCAGCATCCGCGGGCGGCAGCCGCCCTCCTCCGCTGCGCTGCGCTCCGCTCCGCTCTGCGCGGGCAGCAGGCAAGGAGCAGGCAGGGAGGGGCGAAGGGGGCAGCCCCCCCCCCCGCTCCCGGCTCCCAACCCGCCGCTGCCAGCCCCGGGAAGGGTTGGTGGCCCAGGCGTAGCTGGGACTCCCCCTCTTTCTCGGTTTTCTGTCCCCCTCAGCTCAGCCTTCCTCCCGTACGTGCTCAGAGGTGCAAACCCGCACACCGCGGCCACCCCAGCGCAAAACTTCAGGCAGCCGTTTCTGTCCTCAGGAGACGGGCGAAATGGTAATTTAAAATATAAGCGCTTATTGCTGCTATTATTGCTGCTGTGGTGGGGTTTTAAATGCTTGCTCTTCACTCTTCGTGGGCTCGCTGCAAGTTGGCTGTGTTTTGGTGTTTTCCGTCCCTCTGTCTCCCCCTGACCAGTGTTGTGTGAATCCCCGCGTTCTGACTTTGTCTTCACAGCTTTCCGTGAAATCCCAACCCTTGCTCCAAGAAGCAGACATTTTGGGAAGATTCTTCACCAGAAAGGACAATTTGTTTTATTATTACTGTTATGCTGTTAAGGAAAGAAACCACCAAAACTTAATACCTCCCTCTGCTTCAAACCTAGGGAAGCAACCCCCATTTCACATCCTCATTTTACACAGAAAAATGCATGAGCTGAATGGATGTAGGCTGAGTTCTATCAGTGGTGAAGTTTCCTGTGTCAGACACAACCTGAGAGTACCAGGAACATACACGAAATTGTGCAGTACTGACATCTAAGTATGTCATAATCCTCTCTCTCTTCCTCAGCAGTATCATTACACCAGGTTAATTACATTAGTCACCTCCTGGTCCTATACATGTAGCTGCTCATTAATGCAACAACCATAAAGAAAAGGAATCCTCTAATTCTTGATGCTGCCGATTTTGTTTCTCTCTGATCAGATTCGTTGTTCAGTGAAAAGGGGTCCAGAAGAGCTGCTGTAGGTTCACTGCTGTTCTCTGCAGGGAGCAGGGCTGAGGGAAGTGAGTGCTGGGAAGTTGAACCACTCAGAGGGCTTCAGCCACGTTGCAATTTCATAACTCCATCTACCTCCCTTCCCTTCTCCCTCTCTGAGTGCAGACTGGGGCTGCCCTTTTGGGACAGTCTGCCCCAGGACTGTTGGAATTGAAAGGCTCCATAGCCAGCACTGGGAGGGGGGGAAGGGGGGGCATTGGCTGCCCTGCAGACCACTGATCACCTTCCGCAGTTGGAGGGCCTGCACAGCTGAGACTGAGTTGGAGGTGTTTAGCAGCAAGCACTCGTGGTGTCTGGCATCAGCCATACACAGATCACCACCAGCATGCAGGAAAAGACCTGGGGGAGGCAGGAGAAGGGATGAGAGGTGATAGGAGACAGTGCAGGTTAAGACCACTAAGTTCCCAGCCTCACCTGGGAGAATCCTGGCTTTGACTTCTGCCACAGGAGCTGGGAGTCTCTTTCTGCACTCGTGGAGTGATGGGCAAGGGGGATGTGGCCCCAGTGCACTTTTAGGACGCAGCCTGCTGCAGGAGTGTGGATCTATGGTAGCTGTGGACAGGCTCTGAACCATTGTCCTTGGTTCAAAGGATTTTGAGAGCCAGGGAGATGTAGAGAACACCCCTGTGATGGTTGGAGATGATGGCTTTACAAGGACAGCCTGTGTTGAAGAGGAGGCTCTGTGAGGTTCTTAGCTGCTGAAGCTAGAGATCACCAAGGACTTCTTCTCCGCTTCTGAGACATTCCCAGTGAAAGAAGGAAGGGGCCTTGAAGGGGGAAGGTATAAGGGTGGAATAAATAATTATTGAGACTCTAAGCCATTTTCTTTTTGTGTTGGTGGTTGTTCTCCTCCAACTTAACCCCAGTATTCAAGTCTTCTCATTCTTCAATGGTAGAAAAGCTGAGCCAGGAGTCTGGAAGACTCTGAAGAGGAAAAAACTTCAGCTGGCTATTCTGGCATTCAAATCCATCAGGCACCAACGTGTGGAGCTCATAGCTCTGAGGAAGTTGGGCTCCTCAGTTACTCGGTACACTCAAAAATGTGTAGCACAGCTCTTGTAGTAATGCCACAGGAGCAACCTGGCTGTGTTAGTGGAAGCAAAGAGATCTTAGGCCTTGTGAAAGCTCCCAGGATCCCATCCTTACACACAAGGATCATTCAGGGAGGAGAGGGAGACAAGGGGTGATGCTTTGTGTTTTCACTTTGGGCTCCCCTGCGTAGCCCATGTGGTTAAGTGTTTATTTCACTGTTACAAATGGCAGTGCTGCTTTGGGTCGCTGTACGTGTGGCTGCCTGGACAGAAGTTGTCTCTGGGCTGAGGAGCTTTCTTCTGTTGGTATATGAGTCAGTGAGGCTAGTAGGAGGAGCAAGCAGTCACTGCAGAGATTGTGGATTTGGGCTTGCAGGGGACCCCAGTACTGTGAGAAATTGCAGATTTCACCTGTAAATAAAAATACATTGCTGCAATGTCAGGATTACATATTTTTACATCTAATGAACTCACGCAGATGCCAAGGATGATGCAGCAGCTGGGCCAGAACAGAGACCCTCACACCAATTCAGGACTGTTGTCTTTATTACGTATTTCTGCAGCTTTGACAAGTTTGGTTCCAAGTGACAACAGCAGAGGGGCACGTTCTGCCCAGAAAGAAGTGGCCAGTGTAAGAAGGCCACGTTTGCAGGGTGGTGAGTTCTTTAATCTCTGGCTGAGAGTAGCGAGAGCTATGAGGGCTCAGCACGTCCCAGGATCAGGACTGAATGCAGCTTCCTGCCTCACACTCCCCAATTTCCAGAACTAATTCTCTTCCTGCTACCACACTTATATACTCTTAGGCCACTCACAGCATTCCCTCTACAGTTCTAAATGCCGCAGGAGAAGAGTGGAACAAAGGCAATGCAAATGCCGGAATGTCCTGTGTGACTGCTTGTGCTGTGGTTAGATGCTGTGCTGAGCTTTCATCTTTCCTACAAAGAATCATTAAAAATTATAACCCAAAACAAGAATACAGAATAAAAACACTGTGGCAGGTTTTTACAACAGTCTTACTGAATAGTGCAACACAGAATGACATCTATAGAAGAGTAAGGAGAGAGAAATTAATAGTCTGGAGGAAATAGAGAGATTTTAAATTACATTTTAAATTACTTGAAACGAGAAGCTGATGAGACAGGGAGCCACAGGAAGTCTGCTTCCAATGGCAAACCAAGAGTGCTGCTATTTGTGGAGAGAAGGGGCAGTGCTGTACGAAAAATAGGGGCACAGGAAAGATGCAGGAAGGGAGATGAAGGGCACGAAGTCGGAAGCAGCTCCATGGGATGGTAATGGAGCTGACTGGAGTGTTTGTGGATTGAGAGCTGCAGTGGAGCTTTTCAGCACATAAGAGAAAATCAGATGGCGATAGTGTACGAAAACTGGTACCTAGGAATCTTCATCCTGGGGAGGCCAGCTCAGAAGGAGCTGCTGTTATGAGATGTAAAGGAGATGGAGTTGATGCAGCTGCATTTGCAGGCAGAGCAGAGGTGTTAATGGACAGATGCACCAGCAGAGGAGATGTTAGGAAAAATAAATTGGGGTTAGGGTGATGATTATAGAACTCGAAGCCAATGGGGCAGAGAAGACAGAAGTGAGATCTGATGCAGAAAGAGAATGAAAAGAGAAAGCTGAGAGAAGTCTGTATGGTTAGACAAGCAGAGGGGATGATCAGAGAAGTCATCACTGGCATCCAAAGCTGAGGGTCCCAAAGCACTTAAGAAACATTATTCACATCATGGTTTTCTTAGGCCAATTTAACAAACTAGTAAACCAAGGAAAGAAGATTTGTGGGGTTTTGCCAGAGAATTGCAGGTTGGGATAATAGAGATTTAAATGAGATAGAGATAGGGAGATAAATACAGATGGAAATAGCCTCAGTGGTCCTCTTTTCTTCAGGTTCATATAACTTGAGGATCAACATAAAAGGCAGTTCAAACATCAAATATTCAGATACTACAGAAGAGTCATCTCTAGTGTAACACTGTGACTGGAAAGGAAGGAAGAAAGAAGAGAGATACAGAGCACAGAGGTCTAATAATTAAAATTAGTAGGTTTCCATGCAAAAGTGGCGCTGGTGCTGCCCTGAGAGTGCCTAAAAAAACTCCATTTTAGACAGGACTGGAACTCTGGCAGGGACCAAGTAAGAGGTTATAAAGCTGCAATACGTAATTCCCTCAGCTTCTGACCTATATCGTCTTCCAAGCTAAATGTTGTACAAACAACTCATTTAGCCTCATAACACTCTTACAAAGTCCATTAGTTTACAGAGGCACCGAAGCACTGAAAAGTTCAGAATATAGTAGCAAAGCCCACCAAAATCAAAGTATTTGCACTGATTTTAGTGGGATCTGGGTGCTGTTATAAATGAGTTGGGTACCCATATATAACCAAGCAATCTGTTCCAGATTGAAGATACAACTCCTGTGCTCTTCCTGCAAGACTCCTTTTTCTTCCATTGAATGGTAACCTTTGAAATGTTTGCTACCCAGAGATGGTTGCAATAAAAACAAAGTGTTATCATCTCATGAGCCCTGTGGGTTGATTTCTTCAAAAGGGAAAGGCTTCCTTCTTCATTTGAAACAGATAGTGGGAGAAAACTGGGGTTCCCAAGATGAATTTTCCACCATGATGAATTGCTGGGATGTGAACTGTTTTGCCTCCCTTTCTCTTTCCATGCTGTGCTAGGTTTGTGTGTACAGCAGCCTCCTAATCAATAGGGGAAAAAAGTAAAAATCAATGCCTGCAACCCATTAGCTCTAACAGAGGGCAGGCTGCTAACAAGCTGCTCTAGCTGGTATTCCAGTATTTGGTAAAGTATCCCCAGCGAGGATATATGCATACACATATCTACAAACTTACTGAATAAGACTAGGAGAGAAAATAAGTTGTGTGAACATTCCCCCTCCCACCAGCATGTCTATTACCATGTATTTGCATAACTCTGTTAAGCTGAAGGCACAATCCCCCTCCCTCAGATGCTGCCCCTCATTATGTTCCACCCCAGAACACACATTTTTCTACAGTCTTATCTATATTCCCAGGCTACCTTCATGCTAAACCATCTTGTGTATAAATACATACCTCCACATGCCCTTACCCCTGCATAAACCACAGAAAATACACACATACACCATACAAACCATAAACACACTATAGAAATCCAGTCTGAGGCCAACTTTTTCACAAGCATACAGGTATTCCTTCTCCTTTGCTGTATTCCCAGATCCTTCATGGAAATACACTGTTTTCTTCCCATTCATATCCAAACCTAGGTACAGATACTTCCCACTGACATCCACATATGTCCAACCCTAGAAGCATCCAGAAAACAAAAAGTAAGTGAAAAGGTTATGGCACATGTTTTGTAATCAGAATCTACTCTAGGGTCAAGGCACAGCGAAACGGTGTCCAGATCCTTGAATTAGAGAAGCAACGGGCCTCACTGTCTGTTGTGCATGAAATGTGTGCACAAATAACTGTTGCTTCCCATAAAGCTTTTGTCTTCATCCACTGACTGTAACTAAAGTAGACTGCCCTTCCTGATCTGCCTCTCATGGAAAGGATGGTTTCTCTTGGTCAACTTCAGAACCCACGAGTTAAAAACCTCATCATTTCTTGACAAACAGGTTTATGAAGCTCCTGTGAGGAAATGTGCATTGGCTGTGGTTTGGTTCTTAAGGAAGCAGAAAGCCTGTTTCATGTGAAGGTGGCAGCAATCAGAGAACTGCAAAGAATAAGGCAAGAAAAATAAAGGCCTTGGGGTTTTTTTTCTGAGCTGAAGGTTTTCAGGGTCTTCCTGGAAGCATCAGCGCAATGATAAATGCTGAGGGAAAGGTGAGGCTTACAGTGAGGATGGTTCGTGTCAACACTGATAGATATTCCAAGCCTTTCTTCCCGTGTAAAGGGCACAGATGGGGACAGATAGGAGGACCCTTTGCAGCCTCATCTGTTCAGTATCATCATTTAAAGCGACAATCCAGCCCAAACATGAATGAACTTTTGCCACCTGGTCCTCAGAGCTGCAAAGGTATCATTGGGGTTTCCTGCCTGAGGCAGATTTACTCTCCTAGGTGTGGTGGTACTGATGCACATAACCCTCCTGCAAGGCAGCTATACACACAAAAGTGTGTATACACACAAAAGTCTTCTTTAGGACATCCCTTGGTCTTCACTGTCAGATAGTTGAGGTATCAGGGGAGGAATAGTGAACTTTTAATTTGTCTGATGCTCAGTAATAAATCAGGGTTAAAAGAGACTCTTGAAGGAACATCCTAAGAAAACCAAGAAAAATGGTCAGTCTCTGGGATAGGTTATTTAGTCCTTCTGGCTTTTCAGAGGGACAATCAAGAGAAGTATGTGCCCCAACAGCTATTCAGGAGTTCAGTGAGTGGGCAATCTCAGAAAATCCAAAATCATCGGGTCCCTCTGATGTCAGTAACAGGCTATGGGTTTCAGTGTGAGAAGGGTTTCTTTCTGTAGTCCCACATAGGCAGGGAGACATCCCATGAGATGTACATGTGCTTTAGACACTGTTTCAGAGAAAGCAAGCTGGTGTTTTGTGTCCACAGGGCTATCACGTGAATTCCTACGATTTGGTTTTACATTGCCATTGTAATGGTTTAGGATTTCCAACATGAATTCCTATAGAGGAAGTATGTTAAACACATGAGATTAACCAGTCAAATGCTAAACTGGAACATTTTGGTGAGGCACAGAAGAGTGTACCATGGATAGAAATTGTAGAGGGGTGATATTCTCTCTCTTGGGAATAGAGGCCTATTTTAATAAAGAAACCAAAACACCTATTTAGGGCTCTAACCCATGTTTAGACGTTGAAGAACTATCCTGAATTTCAGTTGTGCTGAGCAGTCAGCATCTCACTGAATTTGCGGAGATGCAGAGGCTCCAAATACCTACGAAAACCTGAATATCTGTTCTGTTGTCTGAATGTCATCTTACCAGATTAACTTTGACCTCATGTAACAGCAGAAGTCTTAGTAGAAATGAAATCAAAAATTCCAAGGACAAATGCTGCACTCATCAGGATTTGCCACTTTCATTCATTCATTCTTTCATTCATTCACTGCAGCTACTGACCACTTATGAAAATTGCTGGGAATGTTCTGAAAGCAGAGTTTACTCACATGGTGGCGAATCATGGGAAGTGAGGAGTCTACTGCAGAGCAAAGCAGTTTCCAGCAGCACACTTGGCTCATGCAGCTCCACCAGATCAGGCTCAGGTCCTTGGTGATACCTCACTGCTGGCTGTGTAGGTCTGCTTGGCAGCACCAACCCCAGCAGAGGCTGGCCAAACACTCCAGCCCATCCTCCAAGGATGCAGGGGTATGGTTCTCATTTGGGCTTCTCTAATTATTTTTCTCTGTTGTTGTCTGCTTTGACACAATGAGCAAGTCTGATAGGGGGCACAGGGAGCTCCCTGCATCCTTGTTACAGAGTGGGACATACGAACATGAATGAGAGTAGACAGCTCAGAGCAGAAGGGAATCTCAGGCTGGTTATTCCCTGGGTTAAGGAGGTGGCTGGGAGATGAGCAGACCCCTGTGCAGAACTGATCCTCCTCCCATGCTCACCACTGCTGCACTCTTCGACAGGGCACTTCTCCAGGTTTCCTGTGTCTGTTGGATAAACAGAAAAAGGTGGCTCAGTTGCCACCTTTCCAGTAGCCAGTCTGAAGAGACAAAGCACTTCTCTATTTCCCAGACCACTGGGATTCTTCTCTGTGACTGACCTATATTAGCGATAAGCTTCATTCGTTCTGGCCTGCACTCTGCTCTCCCACATGGAGCACATGCACTGCTCCTCCCCCTCAAACAAACACCTTTACACATCCAAGGACATTGTAAAAATAAAATGATCACAACCTGGCCCTCCGGGAACCTTGGTTTTACAGTTTGTCCCGCTCTGATGCCAACAGAATCCACAACCCAATTCTAGAGAGGCAGAGAGCGAGTGAGGGAAAGCAGGCAGACAGGCACAGACAGGAGGAGACTGAGGAACTGGGGAGAGATAAAAAGGAGCAGAAGAAAAAGAAACAGGGCAACCAGAGGGAATAAGCTGCAACAACAAGGGGAGGCATGTACAGTAGGAGTCTAGAACACAACAGAGAAAGGGGGTTGGGGTTACAGGGAAGAGTGAGAATTTTAAATGGTAGAAAGTTGAATAAAGAGAGATAGGAGGAGATGAAAAAAGGTAGGGAAAAGAACAGAAGAGAAAACAAATGGTCAAAGGGAAGGGAGGAGGTCGACTCAGGCAGCAAAGCAAGGTGGTGTCTATTACATGAGGCAGTAGAATTAAGGAGGTGCCTGTGAATCTGAGCGCTGCTTTTTCATGTCTCCTGTTCCATTGTGAGTACACTGTGAGGAAAAGGGCAAGAGGAGGGGGGAGAAAAGGATAGATAAATGCCTGAGCTGTCAACTTAAACAGCTCCTAGCAGTCAAGCAGGTAAACTGGAAAGAAGCAGTCCACAGGTTGCAGATGCTCAGGGTCGCATTGCAGTTCAGCAGGCAGGAAACCGTCTGCACTAGCACAGTGGCATTTACACTCCCAAGTCCACTGGGTCTCTCTGTGTGCTTGCAGTGAGCCCTGCACACATAAAAATGCTTATGTTCAGTACTGTGGAATTCTGCTCTGATCTCTGCCCTGCATCCTCTCTCAGGTCTCAGTAAGGAAACCTCAGCCACAAACACAGGAGTGCTGTTAGTCTCCCTCCTTCCCGCATGAATCCACCCTGCCAGATCCCAGTTCTTGTTTGCACTGCAAGGGCTGGCTTGCCTTCCCATGCCTCTCTTTTCCCCACGGTTCATCTTTACCTTTGCTCTTTTGTTCCCCTGCTTTATCTCTCTCCTCTTTCCTTGTGGCTCTTCTTCCTTACTGCCAATCATTCAGCTCCCCCTTACACAGGCCTATATAAACATGCCCCAACACACACACATATACACACTGTTTATCTCCATCTCTGTAGTTATACACTTACCTATTACTGTAGTACCTAGCTTATACACATCTCTTTCCCACAGATAATGTATCTACCTCCTCACCACACACCTGCCAAATCTGCCTTTCTTTCCTTCACAGCCTTTCTCTTGCTGTCCCCCAACCAGGCCATTTCTGTGTGTCCATTCTCCCCAGTTCCTCTATCCTTCCCTCTCTACAATCCATTCCTCTTTCCTTCTCCCCCACTCTACCCATCTGTCTGTCTCCACAGTTTTCTCCAGCTGATACACGTGTACCCCAGTCCCTCTCCCATTCTTCCCCCCTCTTTTGCATGTTTCATCTCTTTGTGTCTCCTACACACCCAAGCCCACACTTGCTCTCTCCCATACTGAGAGGAGGCAGCAGCAAAGAATTTGCTGCTGACCGCTGCATTGCTAGGAGGCAAACACATGGCCGGCCTTGTGCAGGCCAGTTTCTGCCTGAGTGCCCCAAGTCACATATCCCCAGCATCATCTCCAGCACTGGGAAAACAGATGGTATAATAAATGAGCACGGTCTGATAAAAGGAGGAAAGGGTGCCTGCCTCAGATGCCCCTCACCCATACAGAGACACACATACAAGATGGGCACAGCTCTTTTGCTCCTATACCAGTCCAGTTTCGTGCCAGGGGAACAAGGCACAAACTCCAGCCTAGCACCAGATGGAGAGGAAAGGGGTAGGAGAGGATGGTAGTAGATAGAAAGACCAGTGCATTTTTTTTCTGACAGCAGCTTATAACCCTGGAAAGAAAAGTACATGGAAAGGGGGATCTAAGCAGTATTATGGTAATGGGGAGGGCTGTTCACATTGGAGGTGAGCAGAGTCGTGAGGATGAATAGCTGCAAGACCTTCATGTGCAGAGGCAGTCAGCAGGAAAAAAAGCAAGAGGCATGGACAATGAAGAAGAATCCTTTCCTCTGCATTTACCTCAGTTACAAGAAACCCACACTGTTGTTTCCAACCTTGCTCCCTGTTTCCAAACCTGCCAGCATTCCTTCCCCAGCTAACATTTTCATGTTCATTCATTGCAGCCTGATCTCTCTCTGCTGACAATAGCATTGAAAAGCATTATCTTAACCCTGCAAGACATCTTTCCTAGATACTCTGTTCTGCTGTCCTTACAAGCTGATTTTATGTCTGATGCTTCAGCTGCAACCTGAATGTCAAAACTTCCAGTTTCGCGGCCCCCAGACTGAAGCCACCAAACATCACAAAACCAAAAGTCCTAGAAACAGTACACAGTAGCCATGCACAGCTCAGACTGAGAGTGATGCTCCATGGGAATCAAAATAATTTAGCAAAAGCAGAGAAAGGAAACCAACACAGAAAAGAGATTCCTGACATACAGAGCGGAAGGCTTTTTTTATTGTATTTAATTTTATTAATGAAAGAGTGATTTCTATCTGCTTTACATTGATCTCATACACATTGTATTTTTCTATTACTTGAGGTTAAATACTGATATTCTGGGGAGGTCTGCTGTATGAACTGACTGTGAAGTTTTCACTGTGGGCTGTCGATGCTCAAGTTGTAGCGGGCACTTCTGCTTGCTTTGGTGAGGTGCAGGTTGTTTCTGTTCCCTGAATGGATGAACATAATGTAGTCAGGGTGCTGCAGCACAATTAGGTGTAAGTTTATGTCATTCCCACCCCCCCTCCTCAAAAATAAAAGAAAGGTTTAAACAAGAATAGATCACCCCACTTTCTGGCAATAGAAAATTGAGCTAGTGCTGGAACTAATTTGTGTTTTAAATGCTACAAAGATGTGTGGGTAACAACTGTAGGCGCCTATTTCCCTCCACTCAGAAATCCCCTCTGAAGAACTGCACTCAATCTGGAATTCCAACATCTCTTCACATGCTTCCACTCTGGCAGTCTGATGGTGTCCTTAGCTTACCCTCTTATTTTTTATGGCTTCTCCAGCCACTGCTCCTCACAGTATCACAGCTTGCTGTTCTTATCTCCCATAGTACTTGTAGGTTTATCATTCTGGATTCTTGCTACTGCCCTATCGAACCCTGGTCTCATGCAACCTTTAACTCATCCTGCCTTGTTCTAATGCATGCCCTACATCTTGAACCTAAACTGGTGGCTACCATTGACCTCACTCATTGTGGCTCTGAATTCCCCAAACTGGCCTTGGCCCCAAAGTCTTCACCCTGAAAATCTCTGTTCAGTTATTCTTACTTGCCCTCCCACCTGCAGCATTATCCAGCTCTACCCTGTATCCTCATTTCCCCTCAATGGCTCATGCAAAAATTACTTTTCCTCCCACTTTATTTCCATACATCACTCTACAAGCTAGGAAAAGCCTTAGGTGTTCCCACCCCTCCAAATCTGCCTCAACAAATCCTTTGGGTTCTTCATGAAGGGATACAGACCCCGCTTTTTCCTACATATTCCTATTCCCCTACTGCTCCTGCTTGTCCCCTGTTCGGGACACAGCAGCTGATCATTTCTGCCCTTATAGCTTTCTGCTTGCTATCCCTAACTTGAAGCTCTCATACTGTGCATTTTTTCCAGTACTTGTGCAGAAAGATTACAGGCTCCACATTTCTCCAACTGATGCAGATCTGGCTGGAGGGAAACTCATCAAAAGTGACCCCATCCCTGACCCCAGCTTGACATGTAGGCTCTGTCACATTTCTCTTTTCAACATTGCCAGATTTGGATTTGATCTCAGAGACCGGGAAAGAGAGCGATTCCAGGCTCCTCTTGACAAACAGCTCTAGGGGAGGAAATATGTGAAGCTGTGACAGAGGAATGAGAGAAAGACCCCCAAGGAGTACATTAAACAAACAAAAACAAACCAACACCAAAACTCCAAGTCTGTTCTTGAGAACAGCCAGTATCTGCGAAAGTTACACTGCAGCAAGCTCTAAAGAGCCAAGATCAGGCTGCCAGGACTCAGCTGGGGGTCTTCTGACAGAAAATTACACTCTAGGCTGAGCAACATCCCCATCTCTCTGGTGACTTTGATTGGGAGTAACAACAGCTAAAGAACCCGGAAAAGAGTTGAAATCGAGTAGCAATCTTCTTTCTCCCTCCCCCAAGCATTGCTGTTCCGGGTCAGCAGAGCCAAGGGCAACTGGCACAGAAGACATTGTTCTCTAGGCAAGATGACAGCAGGAGGAGGAAATAGGATGAGAGCAGCACAGAGATGATGTGCCCTTAGGCTGAGATATGTTGCGGGGGCCAACATGGCCCTTGGAAAAGCTCCCTCTCAGACTCCACCTCTGCTCCAGAAGGTCCTAGAAGTCCCTTAGCCCCAGCTTCCCTGGAGTACCAGCGGCAAGACAGGAAAATTACTTGCTAGGAACAAGCAGAACTGCGTATTCTCCATTAAGAATTGGATATGAGATACAAAAAGCATTGACAATGAACGCATGGGCGGAGGCGGGGGGCCATCACACAGGTGTCAAGAATAGGAATATCTTTCTGCTGCTAGGAGATACTCTGCCATTGCACTGCTGGCCTCTTACAGGCAGACGAGACAACTGCAAACAGTCGCCACCTGAACATCATAGATACAGTATATATTAAAAGCAGAGCAGCGCCTTGGGCAGCGTATGGACCCCCATGGATCTGTGTAAGCACCAGCAGAAAGCAGTTGCTGCCTCCAGAACAGAAACGCAGCATTTTCCCTGCTGTCAGCACCTGCGTCAGGCTCCTTGTTTCTCTTGAGATACAGCCCTTAATTGGGATAGATTGTACGTGTTCTGCCCTAGCCCAGCCCAGCTCCCCGTTTAATTGCTAGTTTATGACTTAGCCTGTTTTGTGCTTTCCACGCTACTTCTTTCCCCACTTAATCTAATAGAATTATAGAAAGCATTGCTGGGAGGACCTCAGGAGGCCACACGGTTTATCCTTCTGCCCCAAGGCAGTATTTCATTTTCAACAACATCATGTGTCTTTTGCTATCAGGTCAGATCGGTCCAAGATGTATAGTGGGTAAAGAAATGAAGCTTACCCAGGGGAGCCAATTGGCATAAAAGACTAAATCCAGCCCTTTAAGTCACTGGAGTTATATCAGAAATAACCCTGGTCAAAATGGTGTCATTTATCAGATCAGTTTTCTGAAAGATGGCCTTTCTTAAGTTTTAAGTCTCTATAGAAGAAACTGTTCTGACAGCCCCATTTCAGTATATTTAATGCTTTATTATGAACAGCAGTGACCACTCTATTGTTAAGACTGAACAGATCTTATCACAGTATGATCAGCTTTGAAATTCCTATTAACTCCCACAATAAAACCTAATCTTTCTGGAGTTTTATATCCTGCATTTCACTCCACAGCAGAATATGTCTGGCAAGACAAAACAAAACCATTAAAGCATCTTTAACATGACAACTTTACACAGACAGATTTCCAGTGAAATTTCAGAAAGTCAGCTTCTTAAGGCTCTTTCTTCTAAGACAATTTGACTAAAAATTCCACTTCTGTTTTCTTTCATCTATTAATCTCTCTAAGAAGAAATGTCTTGCAGCCTTGGGAATAGATAATGCAGAAATTAGAAGGGTAAAAAAAAATAATGATGTATCAAGCTAAGTAAAGCAGGGCACAAGTATAACAGGGATTCTGTGCAGCAGAGCCACAAGGACCAAAGTAAAGGTAAGAGGGAGGGACTCCCAGGAGAAAAGTTGTAACACTCATGCTGAGCACCTGCAGCACTGCACAGCTGGACAAAACAGGGGAGCTGTAACATGACAAGAAGCTTTCTGGTCAGCAGACAGCTTCCTGCCTTTATCCTATTCTTCTCCACAGTGTCTGTAATTCAGAGGGATGCTAAGGCTATAAGCAGCAAACATGAATTCACACTCTACAGATGTGGCCACAACAGTTACTGAACATAGTAAGAGAAACTTAATAACGGCTCAGTTTGTTGACTCATCCTGCTCACCTAGTTGCTACCCTAAGCTCCTTCAGACACAAAACTGTTTTCCACAGCATTCCCGTATCTAGCTCCCATGTCCTCTACCCACTCCTCACTACTAGTATCTACAACAAGGTCATGCATAAGCTAAGAAAATAGCAACAAGCATCACCTGCATTAGCCAGGAAGGACAATATATGATGCTTTTAAAATGCATTTGGAAGGACTGAGATGATTATTGTCAAACATACCACTTTGAAGAACATTAATTTAGTGCTTGAAATAGTCCTGTAAAGGCAAGTTGGGAAACATGCTTTAGACACAGCCTCTTTTCTAATTCTAGTCATGGCCTGTGAGAAGAGGGAAAGGGGCAGTGGGTGAATCCCTACTGCTAGCTAATTAGATCATACATTTCCTCTCTCAGGCAATACATCTTTCCCTGCATGGGATGCATTTTTCTTCACTAACCTCTCAAAAGCAGCTCCCCTATAAATCACAAATCACCACTGCAAGCATTCCCTTAATGAGATCCTCCAGCTTTTGCATTCATTTAATAAAACAGCATTCACCCATCTTCATCTTACTGGTGCATTTAGACTGTTTATTTGAAGTTACAGGAGGTCCTTCTGGTACAGAGAGATTGAACTCCCTGGTTAAAGACTGCATAGGATTCATTTCATCACCCATTCCCAAGGCATTCATTCCCCCTATATACCACGTCACAGCTGGCATACACACCTGGCATGCTATTTTCAATATGAAAAAGTATCTGTGTTGTGCTGTAATCACAACATCAATAGAACCAGGGGAAATGAGCTACCAAATCAAATCAAGCTTTCTTTAGTTCTTTAACTAGATCAGCACAGCATCCAAAATAACTTTCATTCTTAATAGTCTTAATATTCTTAACAGTCAAAGGTATCAACACCTGCAGATGAGACTCCACTCAGCCCATGGAAATCAACAGACACCTCCCAGGGTTAACAGGACAACCAATGTAAGATACAAATGCCAGTAATGCTAATTCAACTCAAAAAAGAGTGAGTCTTCTAGTTACCCTAAGCCCGTAGAGGAGTCCTTCCTTCTTTACAGGGAGCAAGAGCTTTCCCAGGTGGTTCTGTCATTTTTTGAGGTGGCTTCTAGCAAAAGAACTGATACCTTTTCTTTTGGGCTGAGCTCCTACTTAACCTCTTTAGCTGGTATTCATGCTCCCTAGCTAATTCCCAGCATAAACACACAGTTACCAGTGAAATAAGCCCAGCTGCTTCTCCAGATTCTCTAAGTGCTTCATAACCTCTGCTACAACATCTGCAGTGATATTTCTTACGTTCAATCCAATGTACTTTTCCTAGCACTGGGCATAAATATGGTTATAAAATGAATGTATAAAAGCCTTGAAACACAGATTCCTGAAAAGCCTGCCTGAAAAATCACTGTAGTACTTATGAGTACAAAATTCAGCCTCCCATGTCCAAGGGAGGCTGACACAATCTGGGAGAAAAGAAGGTTACAGTTTTGAACTTCTCAGCATTAAGCTGTTACAAGGCAGTACCTGACCATGGATGCTTTCACATACTGCATCAGCAAAAAGACTCTTACACATGCAACATCAGTACTCCCCACAGAAAAGCAGCTCTCTATCAACTTTTACCCTTCCTGATAAAAAACTTCTAGCCAGACACGGCTGAGTTACAGTAACTTAGCCGGGCTGTCTTTCATTTCCTTAGTCCTGTTTCCCCTAGCAACATCAAAATCGTGGTCTTTAATCCCAAATTCAAGGACAAGCAGGGAAAGTTTAACAACAAAGAAGACTCTCATTCTAGTCTGAGCCTAGTAAGAGCATGGTATTGCTGAGCTCAGCTGACAAAAAGAAAAATGACACAAAACCAAGTAAGATGAAACACATGAAGAATAAAAGAGAATTTGTTTCAAATTTTGCACTCGTATTTAGAATAAAAGAGATATTCTTGCTATCTGATCCCATTCTGCATATTAGCCAGTTTGGATATGCTTGTAGGAAGTCCTGCTCGCCTCCAGAGAGGTAGCTCCTTGAGAAACCTTGTGACCTGGGACCAGCAGAGGGCACTGCGTTACCAATTGACAGCGGTACAGATGCAAGACAGTTCCTACCAAGCACTGAAAGTGAGCCACGTTGAAGAAAAGCACCAGATTCTGGAAGTCACAAGCACGTATTAGTCATCAGCATATCAGTCCTACAGCTGATTAGGGTAACGCTGTTAACACAGGCCTCGAACACTGGATACTCCTAGAAACACACTTAAAACCAGCTTAGTTCCCACATATCTCGGTCTCCATGTGTTGATTTTAGGGCATAGGCCTCCTACTGAAAATGCTTTTCAAGCATCAGGGCTAAATCAGTCCTGCCCTGCAACATATGCTGGGTTGCTTAAGTTGAAAAACATCCTGTCAGCTTCCTCTCTCCTTCTCCAAACCTCTAAATCCTCGCTTGTAGCAGCAGGAAGTCTGTTCAGGGAAGACACATGACAGTATCAAAGCAAAGAGCTGGTTATTTCCATTCTGCCCTCCCCTTTTACTCCCCGCCTCCTCCAACCTAGCATACTTTCAGTGAGTACAGAGCCAAGTTAGAGGACATGAAAGGAATGCTGAGGTAGCAACTGCAGAAGAGTGTCTTTCCACTTGCTTATTTCTAGTTTATTTTGAATTACCAGAAGATGACCATGAAGAAGCAAATAGCTCATCTCTTTTCTTCACTCTGTATTCCAGTCTGCAGGTTTCTGGGCACTAGAACAAGCTGAGAGGATAAGTAAGTCATGCCAGTCACAGCCCTCAAGCTAGTGAGTGAAAAGTTTCCACTTTCTCCCTGTACAGTTGGTGGAATGACTTTGCCAGCATGTGGAAAGGGGTCTCAAAATTTTTCATCTCCTTCTGTAAAGAAATAAGAAAGTTGTGAATCACGAAATAAGCATTTGACTATTTCTGCTCTGCTTCACAGAAGACATTAAAACTGAGGGTGAGTTAGATGACAAACAAGTAGAAAGGAGACACCAATTATCTTTCTTTACCTGAAAGAGAAGATAACTTTACAAAGACCCACTTCCACAGATGGTGAAAGGAGCAAATACTCACCACTGACATCTCACAGTATTCCAAGCCATGTTTCTCAGCCCACTCCTGTGCTTGTTTCTGTTCCACAACTCGACGATCAACTAGGTCTGTTTTATTCCCCACTAAAACACCTACAGAAAAAAAACAACACAAAGAAAAAAGAACCACCCAGAAATGCTGACTTGCTAGCAATAACTGCTGGAACATTTCTAGAAGTAGCTGAAAAAGTCAGAGGCACGGAGAATAGTCTAGAAGTACCTAGAAAAAGTTCCACAAAGGAAATATATTAATACCTTATCTGCTTTTTGGTAAAAGCAAATAGAGAAGACATGCCCTACATCTCAAGGGGGAAAACCGCTGTTACAGAAAAGGAGAGCAGATAACAAGAATCACCACACCCTTTCTCACCTGGGATGTGCATCCCAGCTGCTTGAGCCTTCAGCTTCTCCAGCCACTTGGCACAGTTGTTGAAAGATTGCTCATTAGTGATATCATACACAAGGCACAGGACGTTGGGTTGCTCCCACTGCACAGCAAGAAAGGAACATTGTCAGCTCTAATGAAACTGATGTGGTCAACAGCCAGTCTGTAAACACAGCAAACACAGATGCTAAGACAAAAATAAAAAGCCTAACATACAGGAATCCTATGCCCTGGCTGAGGTTTCACATTTCAGTGGAGCTGACTAAATGGATAGCTGGCACTGGGAGAGGTGGCCTTGCTCTCTTTCCCCATTCCTGTCTGCACGGTCCTGCTCCTTTACTTGTATCAGCTCTGGCACTCATCTGATCCCTGGGGAAGCTGATTCTGCATGCTGAATAAGCGCAAAATTAATCCTAGAGAAAAAAAAGTAGAAAGGTTTTCTTCCAGTTTGAGAAGCTGAGCCAGCTTCTAGAGGGGTCTCTTGTGAACCAGACCTAGTGCAAGGGCAAAAGTGGGATTGCCTCTTGTACAGCAATGAATTTGGGTAGTTTTCTCATTAGGTTGACTTAGCCATCTTATGAAAACTTGCATCAATTAATTGATTCTACCCCTCAAAGTGAGATAACACAACGGAGAACTGTACAGGTAAGCACACAAATGCGTGAAAGAAAGAAACAAGGGCAATATTATGCTCAAGGACAAGAATAAGTCCTGTTGGATCAAACACACCTCTGAAACACCAAAAAAACCCACTCCACTGTTGGAGTAGCAGCAAAGTAGATGTTTTTGTAAGAAATAAAAATAACCTCAACCAACAGTACACAGAGAGTCTCGGTTAAATATCCCTTCATTATTTATTTATTTATTTATTTATTTTAAGAAAAGTGAATGACTTTCTGCTTTCCTTCCTCTGGAAAGTATTCTAGTACTTTTACAAGTTTTAGACAGGAAGAACAGGATGCATTGGCAACTGAGGTAATTGCTCCCATTTACACTGAAGACAAAGTTTGCTACATCTGCCAGACTGGGAAGTTCAGATCTTCAAAGCAAAAGTGCTCCTTTGGAAGAAGAGGACTGTTACATAAGACTTACCAGTTTCTCCAGCACTTCAGAAAATAGATCTTTTCCTGCAGAGTCAAAAATGAAAAATTCCTGAAAACGGAAGCAGAAAGAAGGCTCTTGCCAGGGAAATGCAGTGTAGGGAAGAGTTTAGAAAGTAAATACCAGAACTTGTAACTCCTGCATTTTGTTCAGTACAACAGTGTCATGTCCCTAAGGGACAAGCTCCCCGCACTGAGAAGACTCCAGTTCAGATAGTATGAGAAAATAAATAGTTATTTTTAATGTATAATCAATAAAAGAGTTACCTCCAAGCCCCAAGTCTCGTTTCCATCTCAACTGGAAACAGAGCATGCGGAGTGGGACAGTAACCTGCACTATTCATACAGAATTATACATGTGGTCCGCATTCCACTGGTGGGAATATATGGCATTAAGGAAAAATAACAACTAAGTTATAACTTCTGTAGTTCTAAGAAACATGAACTAAACCTGTGTGTCCTAAAAGACAGAACAGAATCCTAACAAAGATGGCAACAGCTTTGGTTTCAGTTGTCATGTTGGGACACAAATATGTAAAACTCACATTTTTAAGATTAAACTAAATCTGAGTATAAGCAATTGTACATGATCAGCCTCATTTCCTTAATGCAAAATAACGGCCCTATGAACATGCACAGCAATCTTCCATCAGAGTGAGACTGAAGTGAAGTTTGAGCTCTGGATGTCTCTTTCTGACCCAATTTATGTCACATAAAAACTCACCACGCTATCACTTGTCTCTGGAATTGATACAGCCTTCACCAACAGTTCTATGCCCGTTGTCTGTCAAAAAGAATCAGGAAAACAAGGATCAGAAGAGGTTTTTAAAAGCCTGTCCGACTGCATACCAACTACGCATTGGACTGAGGCAATTCTAGTGAATCATTACGATCCCATCAAACAAAGACTGCTGGGAACTCAGCAATGCTCCTCACAGCTCTGGTAACACATTCCTACCTACATGTCAAAGCCACGCAGATTTGCTCAGATGGGGGGAAAAAACAGAGAACCACCAACATCCAGAGATTTGCTTATATACAGCCAAGAGTATTAGCTGAAATCTGCACGGCAACATTCACTATCTTACTGCTGCTATAAAACACACCTTAGAACATTCTGCACCAACCATGTGATCAGCTAACATATGGGACTGAGGTTATTTGTGCCTCTTCCACCTTTTATCTCATTTTGCTTTGTAGCTTGTTTGTTTGTTCTATTTCTATCCTTAAATTCTGGTTTCCATCTTTATTTCAATGAATAAACATCTTTTAGTATGGGGTTTTTTTTCCTCTACACTCATATTTTCCTTTTTTTTACTTTACTTATATTTACTTTTATTTTTATCCTGCTTCTGATTAGTCATCACCATTGATTCTCACACTGAAAGACTGCAAACTGTATCCTCTTCATCTGGGAACAGTTTCTGTAGATTATAATTATCTTGGGGCTATGCAGCACATCTTCGTGTTTGCATAGTGATAAGCGCACTGTCCACAAGCACATTTAATAGTTGGAATTAAAAGCTTTCTCCTTCAGCAATGCTTTTTCATAGAGCACTCCCTAAAGGGGGAAGCTCTCTAACACCACAAAAGCTTGTGAAAACATTGGTTCAGCAAGAAAAATACAAAATTAACTAAATTATTCTGCATTAAGTTTCAAAAGCAGCATCTACATAAAGACAGAATATTCAATTATTTCTCTTCAGAATTCAAGGTGTAAGAGAAAGAAAATCCTGTAAGAACCCCCCTTGCATGCCTTGACTTAAAATCATATTATGCATTTTGTTCTAGACCTTATTCGTTTTCTTATCCAACTTCAAAGATATTTGAGCCTGTTGTATGCTTACCAGTGTGTAGTTCTTCTGAAAATGAGCCCCATCAGTGCGGAACATCTGGACTAAAGCACTCTTTCCCACAGTTGGATCTCCTGCAAACCCAAAACCATAAAAGATTTTTTTGTTTTGTCTTGGAGAATCTTATTTTCCCTCAGTTCTGTTACTACCACATGCCACAGGAGTTTGGATGCTCTAACTGTAAATACAGGCAAGACAACTGTCACAAGAAGCATAAAACAACCTAAAAATTACTACCCATGTGAGGAAATTAACATTGCAATTATGCATACTGGTGCTGACATCAAATATCTGCTCTATGAATGACAGTAAAGGCCTCCCAGTTCAGGGAGAAACTGTTGTTTCATATCTACCCTTTAGTCTTTACCTAAGAAAAATTCCCAGAGATGTTATCATGCAAAGAAAAACACAATGTGATAAGCGAGACTGGGCTGCATAGGAGGCTAGTTCTTCTTCTTAGGCTACCCATTTCCCCAGATTCAAATCTGTGTTATATACTGAGTTTAGTGAAGAGACAGGTCATTTATATACTACAAAGCTGCTTAAACTGGTAACATTCCTCAACGAACTCTTCTTGCTGACCCTGCTAAGAGAGCAACTCCTGCTGACTCAATGCTGCTGGTGGCTCATTAGTTGCATCCTGAGCCTAACAGAAGCAAATGTCACTTGGCTGGAGAGAAAGAGCCTGCTGATTCATGACTGTATGGAAGGAAAACCAAGGAGCTTTAGTTTTTGCTCTTCTAGAGCAAGGCTTTCCGGTATGGCTCGCACAACACTTCAGATAATCTTGGCAGCTGCCTGCTTTGACCTGCTGCATAAGATCCAATGCAATGGCAGAGAACTGGAGGATTCATGAATGCCCATATCACTCCATGCAAAATATCATAATCCTTGCAAAACAAAGACTTAATGTTCCCAAAGGGCTTTCCTCTCTTCACATACTATCTCACTAACCTGGATATAGTTCAAAGGACAGGAAACACAAACTAAATACCTAAGTGGTTCTAGCTTTATCCTTAAAGGAATGCACATGACAGCCAAGCCTGGAATACCAGTCTTTTATATTATGTTATTAATAAATAAATCCAGAAAGGGCTATATTTTGACCTTATTACAGCTTTCTAGATACATTAACCAAATGTAGTTCTTGTTTAAACATTTTTAGCATGCTTGCTTACTTTGAGCTGAGTTGGGTTCATAATATTTAGACAGGAAAATCTGGTAAGTCAGCTTGTTTGTTCCCTGATCAGTTCATGCTTGTGCTGAAGACAACACTCTGTTCTGAGTGGAAGCTATTCTGTATTTCAATAGACAATTAGATCTGTCTTTGTAAAATGAGATAAAGAAGCATCTATTGCTTCAAACTGCGGCAACATCATGCAGTGCAAATTCTCAATTAACGTGGTGCCTTTCTTCAGTTTGACACCCACAGTTGTTCTTTCTCTCTTCTTCTTATTTTCCACCCTCTTAGCCCATTACATCACTACACTTTCCCAAAATAAGTTTCCTTGCCCTTTTCATTTAGTTTGGTCTCATCTGCCAGTACTGCATCCCACAATATTTAATCCATCCATATTTCTGCTATTCTGCCAGAAACCGTAGTGTGTCTCTAAAATGCCTGCTACCACCAACTGTCTACAGTGAAAACCTTTTCAGTGTCTCCACAGTCAGCTCAAGCAACAGTATCTTTTACCCCGTGTCTGTAAATTACCCTTGAGATAGCACAGGAATTGCTTTCTGTTATCAAGTTAATAGTCTCCCTTTTGTTAACAAAAGCCCTTTCCCCCTGTTGTTCTCTTTGACCTTGGTGCAGATCCCAATACTATGATCCCAATACACTCTATTCTTCATAACCATTTCCAAAGGTACACAAGAGTTCCTTGTTTGGTTTCTGATGTTTTTGTTTCTACCAATGTAATTGCATTTTCTTGCTCTCCTTAGGTTGTTGTGGTTACCTATCTCTTACATCTCTTTCACTAAATTATTTTGCCTCATTTATTTATTATTTATAATAAAATGTATTTTTAATAATACATGGATATTATTGTAGCACTTAGGAGAACTACATATGGGACAGGACCTTTCTGTTGTTTGTGTTGTGAACAGAATTGAGAAGGCGCCTTCAAACCCAGTGAGGATTAAAGCACATATCTGGGTCATCCAAAGAAAACCTGTGTGAATTTAAAATGGTCGTGGAATGGGCCTTTGGTAACACTAAACAACAAAACCTGAAAGACTTAAGCAAAGCCTATGTGTTGGGACATCGAAACTTTCAGATTGGAAATGATGTGTAAATTTCAAATCTAGAAGACAGGCAAGATGCTCATCCTGTCCACAGTAGCTGTCAAAAGAGGTGCAAAGGAGATTAATTCTTGATTAATTCTTTTGCATTTGCCAAAGATCACACCTTTGCTTTGTGCAAGTTGATGGTCAGTTGCTTCTGAGGCTTAAAACAAAAAAAAAAAAAAAAAAACCCAAAAAAAACCAGGATTAAAGGAAATGGGTTTGGAACAGAGTTAAACCTGGGAGTTGTCTGCACACAACAGTTTTATGGATTTGTGCTTCTGGCTGAGGCTGCACAGTGCTTCAGTGTGGGGGCAGGGGAGGGAAGGACAAGCTTGCTTTCTGCAGTGTTAACAGTTAGATGTACTTACTTCCAGCAACTCCATAATCCATCCTGACTAAATAGTTCAGTGTCTTCACCTCACTTTGTTTCAGGTTAACCTCCAGTTTGCACAGGGAAAAGAGACATCTTTCTGAAGCACACATGCTTCATCCTTCTACTCTTTGGTAAGGCTCTACCTTTTCTCCTCACTCTCAGAATCATCCCTATTTCTGATATCAACTTCCTTTCAGCACAAGGGGAGCCTTATTGCATGAGGGAGAACTCTGCCTCTGCTGTCTACCCTGCTCCCTTCACACTCTCCTCATCCTCAGCCCACCTTCCCACACTATAAAAAGACTCTTTTTTTTTTTCTTCTCCTTTCTTTCCTCCTTTCTTTTTCTTTCTTTTCTTTGCTTTCTTTTTTCAGATCCATGCCTTCCAGCTGGTCTGGCTATGCTTCACACCCTCCCTGACCACATCTCTTGATCCTCCATGTACCGTAGGAGAGGATATGCGATAGGTAACCAGAAACACGGCTTCCACTGCTCCCGAAGGAGCTGAGCTCCCCGCCTCGCCTGTCACCTCTTCCCCCCACCTCCTCCGCCGGGGCGACCCCTCGACGAGGGGCCAAGAGGAGACAGGCCTCCTCCCGACCGCGGCCAGCCACCACCCTGAGGGGGCCCGGGAGTCCCAGCGCCGCGCCGCCCCGCTGCTGGCCTCGCCCTACCCCACAGAGCCCAATCTAAGCTCCTGTAGCCGGCGGGGAGGATGGGATGGGACGGGACGGGACGGACTCACCTGCCAGGATGCACTTGGCAGCGAGCTTCACCATGGCTCCGGCGCGGGGAAGACGGCGGCAGTCGCCGCCGCCACCACCACGCTCTGCCTCCCTAGCAACAGCGCGGCCTTAGCAACCGAGCGCCCCGCCTCCATTAGGAAGCGACTGCCTGCGCAATTCGGTTGGCTTTGAGCCCTGCTTATCAAAGCTATTCGCAGCTGCTATTGGTTCTCCTCGCTTGTCCCGCCCACTTAGGGTCCGGTCATTCAAACCCGCCTTCCCCGCCCCTTGTAGTAGCTGAGGCGGGGCAACGCAGGGGCGCTACGGAGAGAAGCGAGTAGTTTCTACCCAGTAACTAAGTACGTTGTCAGGAGGCGGTTTGTTATTGGGCAGGACACAGGGGACCGTACCATTGAGCCGAAATTAACCCCCTGGGGACAGGGCAGAAAATAATAAAAGTTACAGGAAAAGAGCAGCAAGGAGGGAAAGGACAAGCGATGGCGAGGGAGAGAAGTTTCTGTTTTGTGCCGATGAGCCTACGGAATGTCATTTTCCATGCAGAAGATTCCTCACCCGCCGGTCTGAGTGCAGTCCTGCGCATGCGAGGGATAGAACGATTGTCTTCTGGGGTGGGATTGCGCTAGTTTTCATCAGATGTGCTGCGTTCTTTCCTATTTATAAGCCGGCTGCAAACCTGAATTTCCGGTGTCAGTTCGGTTAGCATGTTTAAAAGAACCAGTTTGTGAGGGCTGTCCTGTGTGGAAATTGAACAGGTTTTTCTTCTTAGCCTGGGTCAGCATTTGACCTGTTACACTTTCCTCAGTTCGTAGTTCCTGCTTTTGACAATGTTGCTGTTGTTTTCCTGGTGAGAGTTATCTTCTAAATAACCAGTTTCCTCGTTGCTTTATTCTCAGTATCTCAAACCTTTGTCCTTTATTTTTCCTCTTTGTTATCTTGTGTAGTCTTTAATGCTGCAGTAGGTTAATTCCTGCAATTATTTGATATTATTCTTAAAATATTTTTCCTAAGATCTCCTGTGATTATTCTTAAACTATGTTTAACCCCTATTCTTAATCTTTAAGCTGATCTCCTGTCTTCCTTAAGCAGCCCAAATCAAGCTTCATGGGTTTGGGACAGAGCTGAAGAAACTGATTGTGCAGCTTCCTGATTTTCCCCCTCTTCCCATCCCTTTGAAAGGTCTAACACAGTTAGAAAGCATACTATTCACTTCTCAGGGTATAAACTGCTTTGCTATGCTTCAGGTTGTTTACTGTGGAGCAAGGAATTTGCTTACTATGAAAAGCAGTAAGTAAGCTTGGGAAGAAGAGAATAATCAATCATGCATCTGTATTTGGGTTATAATATTGGACATTCCAAGAGTAGAGCTGGTTGAAAATAAAATTTTCCAAATTTTGCTTTAACCACTGCCAGCTTAAAAGGCAATTTTTTTTTTTTTTTTGTCTTTTCTAGCACAAATGACCCATTTTACATGTTTGTAACTATGTACCATATCTGCCAGGCATATAGCCAGGCATGGAAATAGCATAGAAATAGTAAGTACCTTTAGCAAAATCAGAGGAGTCTTTTATATGCACATAGAAACGTTGTTTCTCTGATTAAATTATTAAAGGGTCTTCTTTAGCCTGAGTGGGCAGAGACTTTAATTGTGGATGATGACTGTAGTGAAGTGTAGTGATGGAGTCACTACTAGGGGTTCCTGTAAAAAGGAAAAGAAAAATTAATCCCAGATCATCTTATTGCTTTCACCATTTTCTCTTTCCATTCCTGATTCCTCCATCACATAAACCAGTTGTGTGGTTATTGATGTTCTCCATCACTTACGTCTAAATAGCTTACAGCCTTTTTCATCTTTTCCTTCCACTCCATCCTCTGAGAAATTCACCTGCCTCTGTGTTGTTCCATTTTTGCAATCTTTGCATTATCCTTTGTTGTCTATTTGTAATATTGTCCCAGTTTACTGACAGGTCTGTATGTGGAGGGTTTGAGGCTCCATTATTATGTACTTGAGATTTATTGATCGTGGCTGTAATGTAGCAGTATCCATCAGCATCTACTGAGGCCTCAAACATCTCTACCATTTTACACTGGGATCAGTGTAATAGAAGGCATAGATTATGTCGGAGGTGAGATTTTCATTGCTTTTGAAAAATTCTGCTTGGAATCTGGTAATCTCCTTTCTGTTGCTACTTTCCTATGCTACTTACCTTGGACTTTAGTCCCATTCCCTCATTTACCACTTACCTCCCCATGCACTAGCAGATAGAGCTCTTAATGGGCTGTGTCCGCTCTATTTCTGCTACCCTTTTGCCCCACACCCTTTCCGCTGCCCACCCCAAAATCAATCTTTTCCCCTGCCTGACTTCTCGTAGGTAAAAGTCATTCCCTTACCAGCATTGACAGTGATAGATTAAGGGTGAAATTTCTTATCTACACCTTGTAATCCAAGCAGAATTGCAGTCTGCTGTTAGCAGTCCACAGGGGTTGCTGCTGAATACATTGGAATACTGGTAGCTGTGCTCACTGAAGCTTCTTTCATCTTGAATATGTGAGAAAGAGAGGGGAAGAGAAACCTTGTGGTTTAAAAAAAACCACCCCAAGCATAGGAAAACAACAACAGAGGATGATGTCCTTACCCTAGAGAAGTGTTTGTTAGGTTAAATCCTGCATTTACCAGCTAAGGAGAAATAGAAGACTATTTATTCACACGCTGTGTTTCTTCCTCAAATGAAGCAAGATTCCTATGAGTGGGAAGTGCCCCTTCTCTGATGTGAGCAGGGTGAGTTGCCCTGACAGCTGCAAGACCCTGAAATTTGAAGTCACATTCCTTTAGGCAGTGGTCACAAAACAGCAGATAAACTGCACGTGTCTATGTGCAGCTTGCATTTCATCAGGCTACAGAAGGCAGTGGTGGTGGAACTGCAGCTCCAGGAGGATGGGAAGGAATTTTGGAAGCAAAGTAAGGCTTTACAATGAGGATTAAACCAAGGTTTTAGATTGAAGTATAGCTTGTGCTTCAGATTGTCAGGCACTGTGCAGGTCACTTCATTGTCTCCTTCACAACACATACCTGTTAAAAAGTGATTTTGGTGGGACAGAATTCATTAATATTCCCAGGACTTGATTTTATAGCTATAGATACATATAAATGTGAACATTCTGGGTACATTCAGAGTTGAGCAGATTACAACCTGTAAGTTGAATGTGCTGCTTAATAAAAGCTACTGAGGAAGTAATGTAGCCTTCCTTGGAGTAAGCAATGCTTCTCAGGAGGACATTAGTGTTGAGGAAAGGAATTAGACTTTTCTATAAGAAACCTCTTAAATAAAAAGTGTTTCATCAGCTCTTTTTAAAAATCTCACGTTACTAAAGGGAAACTGAGGAACAAAACACCACCAGAAATATCTTGCAAATGGATAAACACGCAGAGTTCATGCAGCTTTTAACATTTTTATAGATCTGACAGAATTGACTGAGTGTTTACTGACATGTCTGGAGAGCTTTGAAAACGGCAAGAACGGATGTGTAAATTTTATTGTAGCTTTCCATTCTTTACACTTTACCCACGCATTAGAATAAATAGAAACTTAATCTATTTTGAGGGCTACTTTATTTGCCACCCCCTAAAATTGCCTTTTGTTTCTCTTCAGAATGGGGCTATTAGCACAGAAGTATGAACTTGGATGCTTTCTATGTCACTATTGATAACAGCATCATGGTTCCAGGTCTTGAGATTTTGCTCTTTTGTGGTAGGGACTGAGACACGGATAGGAAGGGTTTTTGGCTGAGGCTCGGTGCACTGAAATGTAAGATGATTATGGAATGGTTGAATCAGCCAAAGGATTTGTTGGCAGTTACAACAACAGCGCTTCTGACTGATCTGGCATATCTGTCATTTGTTTCTGATCTACTACACTGGGAAACTGGAAGCTAGAAATTAATGGTAGTTGTGGCATCAGTGAAAAGTGGTAAATCATTAGATGTTGGGTAGGTACCTCTACAAGGCTGTAAACTTGGTGTGAGTATGATAATTGTAGCTGTTATGTCCTCTCTTCTGATGAATATGGAATGAGGGATGGATTTCTCAAGGATACATTCAAATCCACAAGGGTAAAGATAAGGAGAATTTTGGGGGGAATAATTACTCTGCATATGTCTGGGAAAATTCTGGCTTGAATCTTTATTCTTGCACAAGGAAAAGCTCTGTGAACAAAACCTAAATATTTATGTAGTTTTTTAGCAATATACTCTAAAGCATTAGATGTGGCAGTTGATCAGGGATCTGGAACTTCGTACAGCATGTCTTTCTGTTGTATAGATCTCTCTGTGGGGGACTATCTGTGACAGACTGAGGACTTGCTGTGGCCTCGTGTGTGGCCTGAACCTTTCTCATCTATTATTGGAGCAATCATTGTCATGCTCTTTTGCACAGTCGTGCATAGGGTGATTGGATGCTGGTAAGTGAGCGTTAAGTATGCTTCTGCATCACAGGGAAGGGGTTAATCTGTCAAATACAGAATATATGAATACATGACATCTTTAAATGAGCTACCCATAATTCCAGCATGCCAGTCATTATGTGGTGATGATGGCTATGATAGCAGCTGGGAATCTTTTTTTGGATCTCTAGCTGCTGTCTGCTGAGAAAGCAGCTGCTAGGTTTACACTAATGCTATATCTTATATTAAAAACTCGAAGACAGACTGCATTCAAGTAATGAGATTTATTAACAAAATAAAAGGTTATGTTTTGGTTTACATTCTGTTTATGCTTTTCGGGATTGAATGTTCAAGGTTTTTATCTGCAGGCATGATAGCTAGAATTTTTCTTCCTCTTGCTGAAAACTGAGTGGCAGCCGTATGACTGCAGGACCCAGAGGTTTAATGGAGGAAGGAGAGGAATATTTAAGACTCTTAATTAATTTTTTAGGAGTTCACAACACTCTGTTTTCTATCATCTCTGCTTTTCTAACAGGTTAATTTTTAGGCACAAACTTTTTACCTTATCCATGTCCTTTCTTTTCAAGGTCAGTTTGTTATAATGA